AGTGATGCTGGATGTTGCCATGGTGACCGCCAGGTTATGTGCTGCTGCCAGAGATTTGACAACACCGCTTCAGAGGCCCTTGTGCTTGTAGCTGCCAGAGCAGGTGAGCCTAGCCTCCTATGCCAGACCTGCAAAGTCCTTTAACTAAACAGAAGGGGTGAGCTTGGGCCTGTTGTGTAATTAGCGATTATAGGTACCTAGGTTAGAGTCATTGTTTCCGGAACCAGTGGAATCCATGTGGTATGGGTCACAAAGAAAGAAAGAAATGAAAAAAAGTGAAGGAAGAAAGGATGGAAGGAAGGAAGGAAAGGAAGGAAGGAAAGAAGGGAAGGAAGGAAGGAAGGAAGGAAGGAAGGAAGGAAGGAAGGAAGGAAGGAAGGAAAGACAGTAGGACAGTTTTATTGAAATATATTTTAGCACCATAAATGTCTCCCTTTTAAAATTTTCAGTTCCGGCCCAGTCCTGTAATCCTAGCTACTCAGGAGGCTGAGATCTAAGGATCAAAGTTTGAAGCCTACCCAGACAAGGAAGTCAATGAAACTCTCATCTCCACTTAACCAGTAAGAAGCCAGAAAGTGGAGCTGTGGCTCAAGTAGTAGAGTGCCAGGATTGAGTGAAGAGGCTAAGGGACAGTGACAGGCCCTGAGTTCAAGCCCCAGTACAGGCATGCGCGCGCGCGCGCGCACACACACACACACACACACACACACACACACACGGAGTTTGATTTTTTTAAGTTTTAGCAAGGATTTATTTGTGTACAACAGAGTTAAAGTAAGGACAAATAGAAAAAGAGAAACATTTCCTACTCTCCATGCAGGAAATGGGCGTTTAAAAGTCCTTCAATGGATTTTTAAGAACATATTCATGGTTGTTTTGAATTCATCGCCACCATCTGATTCCACAGCATGTTTATACCCCTAATGTATTCCAAGTGCAATAGCTGTCCTTCCTCACTGCCCCTCCCACCCCAGCTGCTGACAGCCACTAGCCTACTTTCTGTCTCTGTAGGTTTGCCTCTCAGGACATTGCATGGATTGTGAACCATGCAATATGTGGTCTTTCGTGGCTGCTGGTGGTGATTCCATAGTGCATCTTGCAGATGTTGTTCATTCATCTCAGCATCTCAGTTTACTACCATTTACCAAATCACTGCTAAGCTCTGGGAAAATGAGCATGAACGAGGCTGTAAAGAGCCCTAACAGTACACTAAGCTGGGAGACAGATTAGGATAGATAGGATGAGGCTCAGCACTGGTGGCTCATGCCTGTAATTCTAGAGACTCAGGAGGCTGAAATCCAAGGTTCACAGTTTGAAGCCAGCCCAGGCAGGAAACCCATGAGACTCTTATCCCCAATTAACTACCAAAAGTTGAAAAGCAAGAAGTGGAGCTGTAGCTCAAGTAGAGCACTTGCCTTGAACAAGAAGCTTAGGGACAGCACCCAGGCCCTGGAGTCAAGCCCCAGGACCAGCACAAAAGAAAGAAAGAAGAAAGGAAAAAAAGAAGGAAGGAAGGAAGGAAAGAAGGAAGGAAGGAAAGGAATTGGGGTGTGGCACAGAGCATCAGGTTTGGGGTACATCAGGTTGGTAGATTCATGGGCTGTGTTCTTCTCCATCTCATACAGCACACGGGGTCACCATGTGTCCCACAGTCCCACAGCCCCCATGTTGAAAGATAGGGCAACCTTCAGTTTTTCCTATTTGCTGACTCTTTTCCTTCCTTTCTTGGTAGCCTCATGCATACTCTTCCCTCTCTGCCTGGGAAACAACAGGTGCTTTCTTGCCACTACCTGCCCTGGGAACTGCTTGCTCATTATTCAGGTCTTAGCCCACAGGCCAGGTTGTCAACAGAACCCATAATGCAGTCCAGCCTTGGCCACTGTGCCGGCCAGCCCACCAAAGACAGCAAGTTTCATATATGCATCACCGCTGCAACTCAAAGCTGAGCTCTTGTTACTTAGTGTCTGGTTTGCCCCTTTGGATTATAAACTCTGGGATGATAGAACCACGTGTTTGTTGTTGGTTGAGCTGCATGCCCTGGGACAGGCCCTCAAGCCTGACACTGGACACAGGTGCAGAATGGAAGAATGACATCAGTGCTCAGGAAGGCAGCATTTTCTATTCCAGAGACAGTGAGAGCTGTTGATTTCTTTTCTGTGCCTTTCTGTCACTTGCCACCAATTTTGGGGTGAAGTTAATCCCACGTGGCTTTTTCTCCTATAAAGGCGCTGCTTGTCCCCTGCCTGCTTTTCTGTCCTCAGGGAGGGAAGGTGAGCTCATTGAAAGACCTGTAGTCTGCTTGAGGCTCTTGATGGACTCCCATTTGTGGATGTTATCTGCCACCTTTATAGTAACCATCCTGATTGGTTTTGCTGGCAGGGTGACCTAGATAAGGCCCTGCACTGCCCTGGGTGCTTCCCGTACCTCCCATGCTCCCTGGTGCCACTCTTCCTCCCTTCCTTAGAGTAGGAAAACATCATTGGCAGGAATTGATACTTCCTGACACACTGCTGCATCAGTAAACCCAAGAAACAGATGCCAGGAATGATTTGATGTCTTTGGTCAATGAGCCACCGCATGAAATGCTGAGCCACAGGAACGCACAGTGGTGCTCCTTTCAGGTTCCGTTCTTGGGTCCGTTTGATCGTCATTGACTCAGACGCAAATGATGTGGGTCATTTTAGATGCTAATAAGAATACAGCCCTCCCCCACCCATGGGCTATTTTCCTGAAGCTAGACAAAATAATAGAGCAATATCATAGGATAAATTGTTGACCTTGAACTAGAACAATCTCTGGCACATTTTATGGGCTGGTGACTATAGATTACGTGAAGAGATTCTTTGTGGGAACAGCTGCTTCCTTTAATCATGTTGGCTGTGCCTTATGGCCCAGCTCAAGAATTTGTAGTGAAGTTCTTGGGCAATAAATGTGGGGTTTTTTCCCCTTAAGTTCATTAGAAGCTTATTTAAAGTACTGTGAAATTATGGCCATGCTGAAGAGGTTGGAACTCACGATAGCTGAGTTCTATATAGGGCTGAGGATAGGGAAGGATCCAATATCTCCCCACACACAATGCTGGAGTGGGATGGAAGAGGGAAAGGTTAGAATAACAGTGTTAGAGACTTATTTGGGCATGCTGTAGAGCATGAGCTTTAGAAGTAAAATAATACTAGCTAGGCATGGTGGCTCACGCCTGAAATTCTTCCTAATTGAAAGGCAGGGATAGGGAAGATCACACTTTGAGGCCAGCCAAGGCAAAAAGTTTATAAAACCTCATCTCAGCGAATGAAAAGATGGGTGAAGTGGTGCATGTCTGTCATCTGTGGTACCCGGGAAACATAAGTAGGAGGATCACAGTCCAGGTCAGTCCAGGTATAAATGACAGACCTTATTCAAAGCATAGTGAAAGCAAAAAGGGGTGGGAGTGTGGCTCTATTGCTAGAGTCTGCCTAGCAAGCTCAAGGCCCTGGCTTAAATCCTAGTACCTATTATTAGTAGTAGTAGTTGTTTTACTTTTGATCTATTTTACTATCGTAGATCAAGAAGATTATGTGAACTAAAGTGCTGCATTTATTTAAAAGACCTTAAAGCTATGCATTCTGGCATGCTTTGTTTTTCTGTTAGCTTCCTGGAAATGCTAGAAGTAGAAGCATTCCTATGAAAGATAATGACACATAATATATTCTCCAATCCTCAAAAATTATTTTGATAGTGCTAGAGTCTAGATACCTTTAAGGTCAAAAGAAGACTTGTAAGTTTGATGCAAATATCTATATGCTGAGCAATTTGTTTTTTTCTGGAAAGATACATCAGTTTGACAGTTACTCAAAATTCCTTCTGCAGGAGACAGAGAATTAAACCGAGAGCCTTTAACTGAGGTCTCTCTGCAGTGTATGGCTTCCAGGGAAGGGTTGGGAACTTACCTTCCTGAATCCTGATCCTTGGGGAACCCTGTGGCCTCTCACCTGAGCCCAAGTGGACATTCCCTCATCCCTGGGCCTCCTGTGTTCTGAAGGCTGGGCCACCGTGAATCCTGCGGGTATCAAGCCTGGAATGGACCCATTGGGGCCTAGCCTGGTACCTTGGACCGGCATGAGCTGCAGACTCAACACACCAGGGATCAAGCTCAGTTTTTCAGGGAAAAACGGGGCTGATGTTACTTGTGCATAGGAAGTTTTCATTATTCAATGATGTAAGAAACGTGTAAGTGAAAACAGAGAATGACAGCATGGCAGCCATCTTAAGCAGTCCAAATTTCTTCTGGTTAGGAGAAGCGCTCCATGGTGCTAGAGTGTTTTGACAAGAACCTCGAGAGGGTTAGATTATGCATGCACACACTGAGTGGGGTCCCTTGGCATGGACCATTTCCATGGAGGTTCTCTGACTGGACACTGGCTTGGGGTCGCCCCTCGGTGGAGGGTCTTACCTTATGTGCAGGCAGGCCCTCCCGCCTCATCTTCTCCATCTTCTCCTTGATGCGGTGAGATCTGCAGCACATCCAGAGGTCAGCTGAGTTTGCCAACCCTGGCGTATGGTGAAATGTTTTATTCACTTTGTGACTCGAGTTCATTTCATCTCTGGGAAACCATTTTCCTCCAGGCAGAGGCCAGTGCCCCCGCAGGGTTTTTATGCCACACCAACGGGATTGTGGGTCTCCGGTGAGTCTTGTCTCTCTGCAAAAACAATTTTAGCTCTATAACTCACAGAGGTGGTTGGGAATCTTCCCGAAACCAGGAATATAAGCATGAGCTCAGGCACTGCTTGTGTGAGTTAAAGAAGTAATGTGAAGGCAGGTAAGAAGTGTAGAAATGATGACAGCAGAGGCCACGGGTATTTATTTGCACCTTGTGCAGTCCTTCTTTCTTTTGGTCTTCCGGGGGCTCAAAGACAAATTGGTTGCTGGAGCAGGTGGGGAAGTGCATTCTAGGGACTGGCACTGGCTGTACCTAAAGCAAAAGTAATGCATTTCCTGTTTCCTCTCTGTCTCTCCTGCCTAGATTCTTTCGTCGGTGGAGTGATTGGCCTCATTTTTGCCTACATTTGCTACCGACAGCACTACCCTCCTCTGGCCAACATGGCATGTCATAAGTCCTACGTTAGTCTCCGAGTCCCCACCTCGCTGAAGAAGGAGGAGAGGCCCACGGCTGACAGTGTGCCCAGCGTGCCTCTCGAGGGGGTCACAGAGGGCCCCGTATGATGTGTGACTAAGGAGGCTGGACCCTGTTCCACCCAACGCCATCCTCAGTGGAAAAGGTTTTCTGTAACGCGTTTCTCATCCATTCCTCAAAGCTCCCTCCTCCCATCTACTGCTTCCATTGTGCCAATGGTGTTCCTCCCACTCTTCCTATCTTCTTTCAGCATTTTTGAATTTGCAGGGTTAGGACATCAGGATGGATCTCTTTAGAGATAGATACGGGGAAGGAGGCTGTCGGGGTGGGGTGGGCAGAGCTGGGCCAATTCCTCCATCTGAAATATCTGCTGTAGCCACCGCCTCCCTCTCTTTTCATGGTTGTGAAACATAATAAAACCTTCCACCTGGACACTGGGGTTGTTTCTCCGCCAGCTCTGTCCTAGGGTATCAGGCCTGAGCCGCTTGGAAGCCAGGGCTCCCGTGTAAGCTGTTGCCTTTACCTAGTGCGTCTCTCTGAGGGCTTTCATGCACAGAACTGCAGCTTGTGAGTCCGGGCTCTATGGTTCACTGACTTCTAAGGATTTGAGCACAGACCTTAATGAATTAAAGACACACAGTGTTGGGCAGGTGGGGGTGGGGGTGTGGATCTTCCACAGTTGTTTCTTGACTCTTGGGTGCAGAATCCTTACATTCTTCTGGTCTAGATTTGGGGGGCAAATTCTGCATGTAGCCCAGTCTTTACTGAGAATTCTATAGCTCTTAGGAGTGGGGTGAATAATTTTATGGGCCAGGAAATGGGTGCCATGGGCCTACTGAAAGGGAGTTGCTGGCTGACCACTAGGTAAGAGGTAGAGGTAAGAGTTTTCCCCCTTTGGGATCTGAGCCTTGCAGAACTCTGCTCAAAGACGTCTTGGTAGGAGCAGAATCCCACTGCAGGCGAACACCCTCCGTGGTAGAGCCTGGGGAGAGGGGATGTGAGCAGAAAGAACAGGTGGTGGGTGGGGCCTGGTCAAGTGTGACCAGTCAGAGTTGATTTTTTTCTGTCTCAGTACAGAGCTCCTTGGCAGCTTGTTCTCCCAAAGATGACGGTATTCCCTTCACTCAGTTCTGATCAGATGTGCCAAGCGGCTCTCCAAACTCCTGGGCCTAGCTCAGGCTGCCAGAGGATGCATCTTTGATGTCCGGAGAGCATCACTTTCTCACAGCCAGCCTAGCAGACTACATTTTGAAAGATACAGGCATCTGTGTAAATTGTCAACTGAGCACCTAGTAGAACCACCTGCCAGGTGACACCATCAGGTGTGTGTGTGATCGCTGGTACAAAGGCTTGAACGCAGGGCCTCAAGCTTTTGCCTGCCTTTTTCACTCAAGGCTGGTACTCTACCACTTAAGCCATACCTTCACTTCTGGCTCTTTGCTGGTTAATTGGAGCTAAAAGCCTTATGGACTTGTCTATCTAGGCTGGCTTCAAGTTGTGATTCTCAGGATCTCACCCTCCTAAGTAGTGAGGAGTATAGGCATGAGCCATTAACATCCAGCATCCAGCAGATTTTTTGGGGGGAGGGTGGAGAGGGGTGGGTCCTGGGGCTTGAGCTCAGGGCCTGGATGCTGTCCCTGAGCCTCTTGGTCCTCAAAGGTAGCTCTCTACCACCTGAGCCACAGCACCACTTCTGGCTTTTTTGAGGAGTTTATTGGAAATAAGAGTTTCACAGGGACCTCTCTGCCCAGGCTGGGTTTGAACTGCAACCCTCAGATCTCAGCCTCCTGAGTAGCTAGGATGACAGGCATGAACCACCAGCACCCAGCTCCATCAGATACTTTTGATGGCCACGCTTTAGTGAAGCCCAAAGCTCCCAACCAAGCCGTTGGTTTCTGAAAGTTACAACAGCTGCCCTAGCAGCAAGCAACTCTAAAAGTGAACATGAGGCACTTGAAAAGCCTCACTGTCGAGGATATTCCTCATGCCCAGAAGAACCACTTGAGCTCAGTGCCAGGGGACAAGGGAGGGGGAGGGCCAGGTTTGAAGAGCCAAAAGTAGTTTGGGACAGCAAAGCTGGGCCATACCCCAGGCAGGAGCACGGGAGCTGCAGAGCTGCCCTTGCCCTGCAGATGCCACCCTCCCCTCCCCACAAACACCCTCCCCCGCCACCCTGATTGTCACCTGGATTTCCTGATTAACTTGCATGCAGGACTTTATGTAATTTGCATGGGTTGAGTCCCTCCTCTTCCTGCCTCATATCTTGAGATCCTCATCTCCAGTACAATGACGCCAGTAGGAGATGGCCTTAACGAAGGTCATATGGGGTCATGAGGTTGGACTGTCCTCCCCAGTGCAGGAGTCCCTGCACTGTCAGAAGAGATTTGGACACAGTTATACTCAGAACGAAAACGGCATGCTGAGGAAACAGACCCAGGAAGGTCCAGCCCTATGGGCACCTTCACCACCATGACAATAAGGGAAAATTCTGAATTTTTTTCCCTACCCTTACACCCTCTCTAGAGAACCAGCCTCTGGAGAGCAGGAATCCCTCTCTGTGTCATCACAGCCCAGTGGCCAGACGCGCAGCAGCGTATGGCTGCCATTATGAATGGGCACCTCCTTCGGTACCTGCTGTTCTCCTAAAAGGTGGGTTCATCAAGCTGAGGTTACCTAGGCAAGGCGACATTTAAAAGCAATAGAACTCTCGATTCCAGGTATCCTGGCAGTGTTTCCGGTGGGCCTTCTTGTGTAAAATAGAATCTGAAAACAAAATAGACTGTCCTTTCCTTGTTGAAGGATCCGGAGGGCGTGTTCTCCTGAGAACGCTTCAGGAAGTTCAATTGCTGTGTGTGTTGTGTGTCTGTCTCCTCTGCTCCGTTCTCCCCGTTAGCCTGCGTGTCATGTGTCGTCTCTGTCAGCTGTGAGTGTGTGGGTGTGGGTGGTATGAAGGATGCCGAGTTGAGTGAGCTGCCCTAGGACTTCAAGAGCCACCAGCACACCGAACGCTGAGCTCTGCTGGGGAACAAGGAACTCCCGGGAGGGAGAAACGTCTCTTGGAGCATGCTATGTCATCTCATTATCATGAAAGTGGAAGGAGGCATCTCTCACGCTGTCGTTTCAGTAAGAAAAGCCTTTGAAAGTTGTATAATTACCTTCCCACTGGGGTCTTCATTTCCTAAAAGATGAGGAAATCGTGTTGAGCACTCGTTAGCTGATGGGGGAAGGCGAGGTAAGTTATTGAAATATTAGTTGGGTTCTGACCTTGTTGCTGAGGGAGGATCCAAAAGCTTGGTTAACTTGGCTGGGCTGTTCTCTGGTCTCCCCAACTTCAGGGCCTGTGCTTCTGAGCCCTGGCCTGGGACGGTGGGGGGGGGGGGGGGGGGCGGGGGGCAGAGTCCAGCTTTGTTAATGGCCTAAGGGTGTGCAGGGGACAATGCTGGATGTTTAGGCACCAAGGAGAGGTTGATCAAAGAAGCAGGTGGCTGTACTCTGGGCATGGTGGGAACTGAAGAGGAAACTTCCACCGTTTCTGCAGGGGAAGAGGTTTGTCTCTGTGATCTGTCCAGAGAAGAGGGGGATGGAGGAGGAGTTGCAGCTTCTGCAAAGATGGGAACAGGGATGACAGAAATCTTTCCCTTTAGAGCTCCCGTTAGCAGGATCTTTGCCTTTAGAGCTCCCCATGGGTTCAGGAAGTGAATAACATTCAGAAACAAAAATTATGGGGTTCACCAAGTATTCCTCTCCTATGGGACCCCAGAGCCCTTCTATCCCATGTTGTTGAATACAGATTCACCTCAAGGAGTCTGAATTCTCCACCTGGCCAGTGAAATTGGACTGAGGACTAAGAGTCAAGGTTAATTTGATTTAAAAACAACAACAACCAGACATGTTTTGCCCACCTCACCAGGATTGAGATGGCTGGGATAAGATTGGATGGAATTACACAGGTGCCTTTCTTATGCTCTTTAGCATACTGCCTCTTACTCCGTGTGTGTGTGTGTGTGTGTGTGTGTGTGTGTGTGTGTGTGTAATGGAATCAGTCCCAAGTTGTAGTGAAAAGTAGACTGAATGGGCAAGAGCAATTACCTCAGAATTTCTCTGATCTTTAGCAAAGACACATACCGATGCTCACAGATTTACACCTCAGCTGCACCATGGGCCTTGGGCAAGCTTCTTCAGTTTGTTAATAGCAGTAATGATGTTACTCCACAGGGCAACTATGAACATGAACTGAACCAATGCATGTAAAACACCTAGAAAAAAATGAGTGGCACCTGACAGGCACCTGAGAAATGCTCTCGCATTTGCTGTTTCTAACTAACCTGGGAGAAAGGAACTATTAATCATCACCCACTGTGTTAGGCAGCTTTGCATTACAAGCAGTTGTCTGAGGCAGCTCACATACAAAGGTTTATTTAGCTCACTGTCCTAGAGGTTCAAAGGGCAAGATGTCTGTGTCGGCTTGGTTCTGGTGGGGTCTCTCTTCGTAAAGGTCAAAGTGAGAGTGCAAAGTCACATCTAAAACCAGGAGGACAGAGAAATGTGTGTGACCAAACTCACACTCTTACTTGTTATCCTTTTGTGAAAACTATTGAGGAGTCTTACAAAAACTACCTTCTGCTGGGTGCTGGTAGCTCCCATTTATAATCCTATTTAGGAGGCTGAGATCTGAGGATTGTGGTTCAAAGCCAGCCTAGGCAGGAAACTTCATAAGACTTTTATCTCCAATGAGCCATGAGAAAACTGGGCATGGAGCTGTGGTTCAAGGTGGAATAGCACTAGCCTTAAACAGAAAAGCTCCAGGATAGTGTCCAGGCCCTTAATTCAAGTTCCATGGCCAACAACAAGAACAAAAACAATACCTTCTGAGGTCACATCCTTGAGGCCTGAGGACTTCAGCTAGGTTCCATCTTCCCAGAGCAGCAGCCTGCAAACAGATGGATCCTTCAGTACCAATGTGGGACACTCAGCCCACACTCAAACCACAATATCCACCAAAGAATCTTTGAACCAGATGGCTTCTGAAGTTCTTTCCTCCTCAAACTCTCATGGCATGTATCTCTCGTGGCTTTAGTCTCTTCATTCTCTCCTTTTGATCACTAGTGGGCAAA